TTTAACTACCACCTAAGTTTTAAAAATGTAAACTTGTCTTCCTAAAATTGAATTGTGCTAAACTTAAGACCTAACATATGAATTCTTTCCTTTAAATTTTTAATGTATTTTCCTCTTTTTCTTTTAAATCGCACATTTTTCAATAAAATCATATTACATGTAAACCTGAATTTTTTTAACCACATTTTCTTAAAAAAAAAAAAATCATTATTCGTAAATACATTTTTTTTACTAAAAATTAATTTTAGTATAGCCTAAACAAGGGCTATAACTGCAATATGCTACACCTTCAGGGATGAAACAAATACAAGATAGAAATGGAAAAATTACCTCAACCCCCAGATTCTAAAATTAAATTTCATAAATCAAGTGCATAAAATTTTTTTTTTTTTTCAATCAGCTATATTTATTTATGCTCCAACACTCCAAGCCACCTCACCTCACCGAATAAAGTTATTTGCAGTGGTTTACTATTACAATTGTGTGACAATGAGCGACTGCAAATAGCATTATTCTTACCTCAACTACTGCGGAAATCCCTCACAAGACTCCATCAAAACCAATCGTTGACAACTACGATTATCACATGCGAAAATTATCCTTCATTAAAAGTTGTGTTGCTAGTCAAGTGCTCGGTGGTAGAGAAGGACCACTAGGACTAGGAGGAAGAAGCGGATAACGGAAGATGGCAAAGAGCAGATTTGCAACGTTGGTCATGATTTTTTGGTAGTTTTAACGGCGAAATTTTTTACGATTGTCAACAATGGTGTAGATCTATCTGTCTATGATTGACAGGGGATGTTGTGGGGGTGTTTGAGGTGGGATGAGAAGAAAACTAGTGGCTGTTGGGGGTGGTTCAATGGTGGTGTGGTTGTCATAATTCTGTGGTCCGTCATACGATTGACGATGCTATTGGAGAGATATATTTATGTGGATATGATAATGATTATGTGGAAAAAAATCTAATAAATACTGATTTTGGATTTAAAAAAAAAAGTAAATAAAACCTCAATAATTAATATTTTATTTCAATTAAAAAATTTGTTGTTAATATTAAAATCTTCATTTATTAAAATTATATGCAATTGTTTAGAAACATAGAATTCTATGTGATCGATCTATTCTCCCTTCTTCTTCTTCTTCTTTTTTCTTTTACTTTTTTGGTTAAGAACAATTTACGTTCCTTGAAATTATGTTAATTTTGTGAAAAAAAAATTTAGTTATATTCTTAAAAATTGATGTAAAAGTTTTTAATTATTTTATTTGCTCCAGAATTGAATGATTGTATCTTGACTAGTGACTTTACCTTAAAAAATTATGTAGGCATCATCTTCTTCTTCTTCTTTTTTCTTTTACTTTTTTGGTTAAGAACAATTTACGTTCCTTGAAATTATGTTAATTTTGTGAAAAAAAAATTTAGTTATATTCTTAAAAATTGATGTAAAAGTTTTTAATTATTTTATTTGCTCCAGAATTGAATGATTGTATCTTGACTAGTGACTTTACCTTAAAAAATTATGTAGGCATCATGGTTCTAAAAAAATGTTAATTAGGTATTAAGAAAAATTGTAGTTTTTCGAATTTATAATGAATTTGCAAAATAAGAAAATTTTGAAAATCTTTAATCAAAATCTATAGAATTCCATGAAAGACTTTTATCAATTCTTAACAATTCCATAGAAATCATTTACAAGTTCATAAAATCCACAAAAAAGAATTACTACATTACACATAATGTAAGGAATTTTTCTTTCTCTATTCTATAGAGATAACCCACTTATAAAGTTTATAAAAATCTATAAAAATTTTAATTGAATATACTCCCGTAATAAATAGCTAAGGGTGTTTTTGATTGCAAATATAAAATTTGCATGGAAAGAAAATAAATTATAAATAATTCAATTGCTTAAAACTTATTTGTATGGAAATTATTAATTAAAGGTGTGTTTGATTGCCAATATTTTCCATGAAAAATGTGTTTTTCCAACTAAATTCCTACTTTTGTGTTGTTTGATTGATATTTTTTCCATTGAAAACATTTTTCTACTTTTGGTCACGTGACTATATTTTTCTCAAAATCAAAGAAAATATTTTCTTTAGAGGGAATATGATTTTATTTTTCAGAGAATTCACTCTCGCTTCTCTCTCTCTCATCTATCCACCAATAAAAAATGGACAGGTGTAATATTTTATAAGTTGAAAATTAAATCATTTAAACACATTTAGAGTGCGTTTGATGTGAGCATAGAATTTGCATTGAAAGAAAATAAATTCTAGGCAATTCAATTACTTGGAACTTATTTGCATGAAGCATTTGATTGTAAGTATAGAATTTGTATGGAAAGAAAATAAATTCTAGGCAATTCAATTACTTGGAACTTATTTGCATGAAAATTGTCAATTAAATGTATTTGATTGATTTAATTTTCAATCTAAAAAATATTACGCCTGTCCATTTTTTATTAGTGGGTAAATGAGAAGAGGTGAGAGAGAGAGAGAGAGAGAGAGAGAGAGAGAGAGAGAGCAAATTCAGTGAAAAATAAAATTCTACTCCCTAAAAAAAATATTTTCTTTAATTTTGAGGAAAATATAGTCATATAACCAAAAATAAGAAAATATTTTTCATAAAAAAATCAATCAAATAGCACCAAAGTAAGAATTTGAATGGAAAAAACACATTTTTATGAAAAAATATTGACAATCAAACGCACTCTAACATCTAGATAATAATAAAAATTAAAAGCCCTAGTCAAAATCGAATTTCGAATTTATTTAGCCCTTGTTTGATACTCATTTTTTTTCAAAATATATTTTTCTCTCTTTTTTCAACTACATATTCTTCAATAAAATAATATTACATGCAAAACTGAAACTTTTTCTTATTTCTTAACTACACATTATTCATCAATTAACTATTTCAAAATGCATTCTTGTTAAAAAAAAATGGAAAACAAACAGGGACTTAATTAAAAAAAAAATACTAACTAAAAATAAGAAACTCAATTTTCATGACCAATATATTGCTAAAGTTAAAAGTCAAAGATTAAAGAAACAGAAGTGGAAACAAAAGTAATATCACTATTAAAATTTTAAGTTTCGTTTTTTAGTTTTTAAAATGAACAATAGTTCAACTGTCCAAATACTTTGAGTGCACGTGTTCAATTCATACAAATAGATTCAATGAAATATGTAATTAAAAATTGATTAACAAAGATATAAATATGTGATTAAACTTTAATCTTAAATTTTTAACAATTTTTTTAAGTTACAAAAATAGATCGATAAATTTATTAAGTTCTCGATCCCAAGAGAGCGTAAGAATTGCTAGACATTAAAAAGTAAAACAAGAAGAAATCAGAAATGGTTTCAATATTAGAGAGTGAAAATCACAACTATCAAGCGTGTGGGGCAATGAAAATTTTTTAATGTATTTCTTTTCTTCAATATTATCTAATATTGTCCACCAACATCAAGAGTGCCATTATCTATTGGACCGTGCTTCTTGTACACGGTCCCACCGCCCCCTCACATCGGGGGCGGGACCCAGACATGGGCCCCAATGTGGGACCTCGCCCCACGTGAGGGAGAAAGGTGGGCCTGTGTACACAGGCGCGTAAACGCCCGGACGTACCACGAAAACCACGACAATGTGGTCTATAGAACTGGAATTGAATTAGCTGCTAAGCATATAATTTTTTTTTATTATTTTTTTTATATTATTAAACTGAAATCTTTCAGAAGAGCATTGAAGTAAAATAAATGTCACAGGAAATATTCATGAACACCAAATAGACAAAGTCCCTCATTCCTTCCCACGCTTGGAAAGTTCTCATTTGGAAATGAAAAATTAACATCCAACTCCTGGTAACGTACATAGGGTGAAAAGGGAGAATAAATTTGATAAAATATTATGTAGCATAAGTTCTTGACATGGCAAAACACTTCACGAATCTCTCCTTTTAAAAGGATCACAAATTGGAATCTAGGATCATATGCAAAGAACAGTTTCCATGTCCTCGAAACATAAGGAGTTAACGCACCCAATTTTACGTACTTTTACATTGCTAATATCGAGCACATAACAAGAATCTAACCACAGCGTGTGTAACTACAAGATCCAAAGTAATTCAGCCAATCATCGATACCAAACAATGGGAGTTGCCGTGTTCTGCGGAGGCTGTGGAATCATGCAGGGCTGCTGTTGCCAGTGATGTAAACCTTCACTTAAACTCATTCCACCAGACTCATGTTCAACAGTCATGTTATTGTCAGCTTCAATATCCATTGTTGCCTCCCCTACTTCTTCAGGGTCGATCATTCCAGTATTATCTGTCTGAGAAACCTCAACACCTGGTGCAGAATTATCATGCGATAGCAACCATGGAACAACAGCCAGACACTTGTTACTTGCACTGGAATTCCCATCCTCTGCCACATCCTCGTTGTTCTCTAATTTCCAATTGATTGATTGGCTAGACCACAAAACCTTACCTACACAATGTACACAAGCTGGTTAATTGTTGTTATCTAAACTTCTACTCAGAAATTAACCCATACAATTCCAAAAATATCATTTCCAATTTGGCTTCATCATTAATAATAATAATAACACACACACAAGTAGAAAAGATGTCCTGAATCGTTGGATTTTACGTAGTGACTGGCATGTAGGATTAGGCGGGTATTACCCGCCCCATTTGGGGTGCGGCCCCACAAATATCGGGTTGAACGGGTTTTTTTGCCAATTCTACTGGCATGGTACCAAAGGACCAACTAGAAATAGATCACGACCTAAAGTAGCAAAGTATTACTTAGGCAGTTAATGCCAAATGTTGTCCCATTACAATACCATAAAACCAAAATTCTTACCCTAAAGTGCTGTCCATATTCTACGAATCTATCATAGGAACCAGCCAAAGTTCACTATGTTCAGACAGAAAATCGAATAATTATGTTTGTCTATAATAAATCCTTCTGCATATATGGACGTGTACAAGAAGACAACTTGCCAATGCAAAACGTAAGAAAATAAGATGATGTTCACTGAGTATTTATGGTAACTCTGGGCATTATTAGTACATAAACACAACCTAGCTGGAAGCTGAAGACTGAAGCTGCATTTATACTCTAATCATAATGTGCTAAAATTGAACAAACACTATTCTGATATCAGACAGACCAAACCAGACCATTATAGCACCAATGATCAGCTCAACATTCTTTACTCAACCATTCTTTCTTCTAGCTGAATAAAATGAACCTACATCACATTTAATCTTTTCCCGGCATTTTCAAGTAATAATTTCCACAAATTTGAACTCCTAAAGAGAGAAGTACTGTGTTCCACAAAATCCAAACAAGATACTTGATACTTGCCTGTGTAAGCAGTCGAACATAAACTCAATGAACAAAGAAGAATCACTTACTTTTCAACCCTGAAATCAGGTCGGGGTTCACAAAAATCGTGAAATTTGAAGGGGACTGCACGAGAGGCGCGTTCGTAGGATTGAAAAGCACGAGAGGCCTCTCTTGATTATCCTGTATGCTCGACAATTCGTCAACAGTCAAACTCTCCTTATTCCCTACTAACCTCTCTTCCAGTACTGATTGCTCAAACGACATCGGAACTTCAGATTCCTCCTCCTCTATTATGGGCAATAAATCAACATCCTACTTACATAAACACACAACTCCAATAAGTAAAATTAGCCTCAGTTAATGACTTAATTCTCCACGCAAAACACTAAAAATCCGAAAATAAGTAGTTAATAATTTAGCACCAATTCAAAAATTAAGATCCAAATTTATTACCAGTCGACGTGTTTTTCTAGCAGGAGACGAAAGGGAGAAATCGGAGAATTCATTATTGACGTCTTCGAGTTCCTTCCTCTTCATATTCAACCGGACATAACCGTCCATGACTATTATTTAATCTAATTGATTGAACCACAAACAATCCCCAAATATAGATGGGGAATTATGATTGAGAAAAAAACCCTAGAACAGTGTTTCTGTTCTACTGATTACGCACCAGAAGGCTAAACGTAGAGTTGATCATTGGTGTAATGGAACTCAAGTAGAAATGTACCGTTATTAGCGGGTGAGTGATCATATCATTGACTTTTCCAGAAGCTGGGAGAGAAAGCGAGAAGCAATTTAAGCTTTAAAAAGTTTTCATTACTTTAATTATATTAAAGTATCTTTCTTCTTTTATTAATGTTGTTTTGATCAAATTAGAGTACATTTAATTGCAAATATGAAATTTATATAAAATAAATAAATTTTAGATAATTCAATCGTCTGACTGGGAATTATTATTTAATATGTTTGATTGGTTTTATTTTCAATCTTGAAAATATTATATTTTTACATTTTTTATTGGTAAATAAATGAGAAAGAGAGGATAGATGAGAGAAAGAAAGAGAGAACGAATTATCTTAAAAATAAAAACCATCCCTTAATAATAATAAAAATGTTCGTTTCAAACCTTTCTATAATTCCTTTTGTTTTGTACACACTCTTCACTTGCTATTTATTTAAATATTTAACTTTAGCACGCTTATAAAAAATGATGTATAAGGCTTCATAATAAATAGTCATCTAGGTTTTAAAATTTTTGGGATCGACCTTACTTATCTTAATGCTTTACTTAAAAGCAAATTGAAGGCAACATTTTACAAAATAATTACCAACGTATTAATTTTGGGATACTTTTGACATCGTCTACTCTAGACTAAGGAGATCCAAACTTACAGTTTGTTTGGGAGCGATTTTTTGCTCCAAAAAATTGGTTTTTTGATTGTTATTTCACTATTCCAACCGTCATATTTGACTTCTTCTTTCACAGGTGAACCCCACTTTTCTCTTAACGATCAAAAAATCAATTCTCAAAATCACTCCCAAACAGGCTCTTAGTTCTTCAAGATAGATTGCTTTGTTTAGTTTTTTCGTGTGTTAAATGGACAGTACATAAAATTTATGGCATTTACCGAAATTAATAAATCATACGTTAACCAATAATGTTTCTTTAAATTTTAACCACATATTCTTCAAAAAATATTATTCAAAATTATATAATTTCTCCCGTAATGGTAGACAAATAGGCTCTAAATAAATTACATGAACCCCAACCCCCCAATTATTTATATTATTGACAGACAGTACCCAAACAATATCTACACAAACCATAAATCTGGTGTTCAAGAGCCAACAGGGATTCTGACATGACTTCTTCTAAGCCATAACTCATACATAACCATATGAAAAGCATCAAAATCAACTGGAAAATTATGCCATTGAAAATGCTTCTGCACTTTCATTACATTATTCTGCAATTTCAAGTACTCCTCAAACTCTATTCCTTCAAGTACTTTTTTCAGCAATGGAATATCCGCTGTCGAAAGGACGAGAGAGAAGCTATTCCAGTTCAAAATGTCAGCATATGGGAGATCATAGTGATCTGCCAAAACCACAGGGACACAGCCGTAGTATAAAGCGTCACCAATACGAGCTGTGTTTACTTCAAATCCTTTGGCGTGGATGCAATATTTGCTACCTAAAAGTGCTTCCGAATACGGCGATTTCAGGCGAGTACGATGGATGGACATGCCGGAGTCGTTTTCAAAGGTGTTAACAAGAAACTCTCGAACACGAGAGTTCATGGCTCCGGCGTAGAAGGCCAGCTTTTTCCTACAATTTTGTCCAACAATGATATGAAACTTTTGTGAAGAAAAAAAGGGAAATTAAAAATAAAAAAATAAAACACTCTGCATTTAGGGTGTATTTATAATTTACGTATTATATTTTTACAAATTTACATATTGCATACGGTGAAAAAAGACCTATTTAACAGGTAAGAATAGAATCTTTAAAAATTTGCCATATAATGACTAAAAGTAACGATCAGATTTTTAGTAAATTTTAATAAAAATTGATGAAATATATGATTTAAAAGTTGTGGGTCTAATCAAATATTGATAAAAATTAATTATTAACTTTGATTTAAATTAAAATCTAAATTTTGATCCGTACCAAATAGGGGCTTAATTAAAAATAGCAAAGTAGGGATACTTTTGCTTGTTAAACCATTTATAATAACAAATTTGTAAATATTTATATTTTTTTTTCCTTCAAACAATTTTTTATTTATTTTAATCAATAACCCCATGTGTCATTTAGCTAAAAATACTGATAAAAATTTAAGTTAAAATCAATAATTAATTTAATAACACATTTTATGTGACTCAAAACTTTTATTAACTGTTTAATTATACATTTAATCTTTTTTTTTTTTTATCAAAATCTACTTAAAAATTAATTTTTAGCAAAACCAAACAGGTGTTACATAAAATTCAATAATGCAAAATGTAATTTTGTATAAATTATAAATACTCTTTAAGTACAAAGTGTATCTTTTTAATTTCATAAATCAATTTGTTTTCATCTCAGGTATCTTGACTGCACTGTTTCTTGACACGGTGACTTCATATTAACATGACATATTTTAATTTTAATTTATTTAACAAATTTGTATACTTTTATCAGCAATTTTTATATTTGTCTTTCTCTTCCGAAAGTTCATTCGTAAATTAAAAAAAAAAAAAAAAGAACACCGAAACAGAAATTTTTAAATTATATAGCGATACTTGAAAATTCGTCAAATTGCAAAATGGTTAAAATTATAACAAAACTTAAAATAAATATGATATTCATTTAAGCTGCAAAATAATAAATAATATAAAGTATTAAACTGTTGTTGATTTATTAATTTATTATATTTTTATTCATTGACACACAAATTTATTAAGTGATGACAACTAATTATTTCCATTTAATAATGTTGAAAAATAATAATCAAATGTTGTTTTTGCTATATTTATCAAAATTAATTTCTTAGAATTTATTATTTTTATTATTTTTTCAAAGTTGTAGTTTTAAGATAATGAAAATCCTAATTGTTTTATATATTATCTACCATCTTTTAAAGAAATAAACAGTGAAGAAAACATCATAAGATTTTAGTAATTAAATTCTAAAACAATGTAAATTTAAAAAACACGGTATGTAAATTATTAATACACCCAAAAATGCATGCAGTGTATTGTAAATTTCCCTTAAAAGAAAAGTACTACTTAAAAAAATAAATGGCTACCTTTGAGATGGTGCACGAATCGGGGGTTCCCCTTTCCTTGGCCAAATCTGTGGAATGGATGCATCTTTATGAGTAACATACCCGGAAAGGAAATAACTTGATGAGCAAACAACTTGAATTGCATTCAGTTTCACTTCAACAGCTTTTTCCATGGCGGTTCTCCCCACAGAATGACACGCCACGTAGAAATGATCCGCGCCGCCACTTCGATTCCAGTAAGGATACTTAACACTAATGTTGTCAACATAGTTTTTGATGAATTTCTTAATCCCTCCAACACCAACTCTCTTGTCATGTCTCAATCCTGCTATTGAAAATGGCATGTAGAAAAGGTCTGCTTCTGAAGGGTCATTTGTTATGAAATGGCTTCTGAATAGAGATTTCTTGAAATAACTTTCACTTGCATAGTTGCCACCAGGTTCATAGTCCACCGGGAGAAGAATATTAGCGAAGCGATCATTTTTCGTGTGGGGATATACGTAGATTTTTAAGCTTTTGTTCATTTCCTTGTAGTCTTCCTCGAAGAGAGTTATGTCGTGAAATACTTCGCTATTACTCTCTTTATTTCCTGAAGCCAAAAAATAAGTCGTGTTTTACACAAAGAATAAGCTCAAATGGAACGCTAATATCCTCAATGACAAACACGACGACTAAGCATTAGCTATCTTTAGAGGTATCAAACTACCACTTCATCATCAAGAAAAAGATATGCTAATGCCAAAGGTATCGTGAGTCATCCTTGACCACGCCTGTGGGTACCCATTTTCTATGACTTAGGAGTCTAATTTGGGCGGTGTATTGATGTTGAGGTATACGGTTAAGGTCTAAATCGCCACGCATATGGACAATGCAATTATTGATCTAAAATAAATGCTTTGATATATTATTTTAAAAAATGGTATTATTATTTCTTTAAATTAGACAAATCAGCTGATAATTGACTTTTGGAATTAACAACTAGCCAAATATTTATTGCCATAATATTGATTAATTAGTGACTGATTCAACATTTGAACATTAATATTCAACAAGACTTACACAAAGAACATTACGACCACATACATTCACCTACCCCTTTAGATACACCATAGAAGACCAATTTTGTCAACTCCATTACTATTCGCATGGAATTACTTGCTCTAGAAGTTCTAGCATTCAACAAGACTTACACTTGAAGAACATTCAAAATTATGTGAGATATATACACCCACAACCTTTTCAACATCTAAACCTATAAAATAATCTATACGCACTTGTATGGTTACTTTTCTTTTGTATTTTTGAAAAAATTTCTATACATATAGCATTGCTCAAACATATAGGATGCTAAAAAAGAAAACCCTTTACATACGTTCCACCTATAGGAGCATCAAGAAACAAGAACTTCCCCCACTTTCCGCTTGACTCTATAGTCTTAAAAATGCTAAAACTTAACAAAAGTCTTATATGTGTGTTCTTGACAAAATTTTTTATAACAGATGTTCATTAAACATGTGGTTGAGAAATTGATAAAAATTGTCGGTCCCTGAAATATACGGTTAAAATTGAAGTTTTACTAGCAAAGAAGTTGATAAAATTTTAGAAAAGTTATCTCAAACAAGCCCATAATAACAGAGGAAACCACATGATCATGAAAATGAAGAAGTTTCTTACCACTTGACCCCTGATGATCAACATCACCCTTGCTAACATTTGATAAAGGATGGATTTCACTGAATCCCACTGATTCTTGAACATTAACATCATCTTCACTGTCGTTTGTCAAAACCGGGATTTCATCAAGAGCCAAACTGTTAGTCCGTTCCTCGAATGAAGCTCTTTTAATCAAGAGAGGATGCACATGTTCCGGATTAAGTTTTGATAACTCGAGAGGAAGATTCACATGAAGCCGGGTTTGCCCCGGAACAATATGAAGTTTCAAGGTAGAAGATATGGAGAAGTAAATGAAAAACGAGGTCCCAAAAGCCAAGAAAATAGGTACCAAAAACAAGCCTCTTCTTGAATCTTTGAGCAGGCGAAGCAAAATTGTACCAGCCATGGGGCATGCCATGTCTCATCTCATATATATATATATATATATAGAGAGAGAGAGAGAGAGAGAGAGAGAGAGAGAGAACGCCGTAAAGGACTGAGTCTATGATCATAATGTTCTGTATGAAAATTTGACCTTTACTCGTTTTAACATAAATTGTGAACAAGTAAATTGACTATATAAAATTGATGGATCATTGCTACATGTAAATTTTTTTTTTTACAAACTCCCTTATACACTACTCACAATGAGGGTGGGGACCACAAGTCGACATTTTTTGAATTCACGTGGAGTCAACTAATTTTGTGAGAGTGAATACATCATTTTATCAACAAAATTTTGTACAAATATCTTTATTCAAAATTGATTATTTTATGGGATAATCAAGTTATAAACCTAAATAATTATTTGTATTATTCAATATAAATAGTTTTTATACAAACCGCCTAAGCAAGCTTGAAAGCAACAGATTCAAATAGATAATACTAGTGTCTATATTAGTACATATTAATGTGCATGAGGTTGTTGAGGCATCAATTGAGTAAGTTTTGAACTTGAAAACTTAATATCCTATTGATTGGCATATTTTTCTTTCCAACCATTGCTTAGAATGCTGTTATTATATTCGATAAAAAAATTAATTTAAATGTTAAACAAACTGATGTCTGAAATGTGATGTTTTGAAGGTTAGTACTAGGGATGTCAATGAGTCGAATTAAGCCGGCTCGCGGTTAAAACTCGAGGCTCGAGTTCGGTTCGAACAAAATTAAGAAGAGCTTTTTTGTGCCTTAATCGAGCCAAGCTAGCTTGATTTTTTTATTTTTGTTTTTTATTATAATTGCTGCCTATTTAAATTTTAATAGGCAGTACACGCTGCCTTTTTATAGATAGCTCTAATGCCTTTTTTTCCCCCTTTTTACAAGCCGACCCATCTCGGGCTTTTTTCAGGTCGAGTCGACGAACCAAATTGTCATCTCCATTTATTACCCTTCAGTATCTTATTCTAAGCATGTGTGTGACAAATGGATCAATGCCTCCCTATATATGAGAGTAAAAGGGATTAGACTTCGGGAGATTTTAGTAAGAGAGAGAACAAAGTTATAGTTTTAAAGTCCAAATTTGTATTACCTTTGGAATGACACATTTTGTGAGTTTTTATAGTAGAAGAAAATGAATAATAACCATTGGATGAAAATACACATGGCTTCATCTAGAGAGCCGAGGCTTCTTGTCATAAGTATCAATCAATCATAGGCATTCAATGTTAATTTCCATTTTGTTGCCCAAAATCTGACACAAGACTTAGCCTTGATCTATTTGGCTGGGTGACGCGACACAATGAGTTGTTACATCAATCATTTACCAAATATCATGAAAGATCTTCCACTAAACCCATCATAGCCTCACTTCTCTAATGATAGTTCGACCTTTCATAGAGGCTTGGCCAAAGTTGCCTAATTGGCAGAATGATGTAGAATGAGGGCTTAGTTTGGTTACCACATAGCATTCTTGTAGCCTCAACATTTGTCCTCCAAGTTCATGTATGGACATTCATATGATGCATGGACTTTCAAGTTGAGGCACGTTACCTTTTATGCTTTAGCATAAGGTATTGCGTGCGACTCTTTGATTGTTTTGGATTGCGAATCGTAGACATCAATCATTTACTAAAGATCATGGAAGATCTTCCACTAAACCCATAAGAGTGAATTATCCAAATGGTCATTTAACTTTGTAAAAAGATTCTGCGAGTTACTGAGCTTTAAAAATCACCCAATTCATTACTGAACTTTGCAAAAGGTTTCCACAGGGTCAATGGACTTTAAAAATCACCCTATTCATCACTAAATTTTGCAGAATGTTTTCACGGGGTCGCTAAACTTTACAAAAGGTTTCCCATGTGTCACTAAATTTAGTGACCCCTAGGAAATCTTTTACAAAATTCAGTGATAAATTAGGTAATTTTTAAAGTTCATTGACCTTGTGAAAATTTTTTGCAAAGTTCTATGATGAATTAGATAATTTTTAAAGTTCAGTGACCCCGTGGAATCCTTTTACAAATTTTAGTAACCATTTGGGTAACTCACTCAAACCCATAATAAACTTGCTTCTCTAGTGGGGATTTAGTTCCTTGTATGGGGTCAATTCTAGCAAATGGGTTTGGCTCTTTATAGGGGTTTGGTTGGAGTTGCCTTATAGGCAGAGGACGTGAAGTGAAGGCCTATGTTTAGCTGCCACGTGGTCGTGGCTGAACCAACCCAATACGAGGAACTAAACCCCACTGGAGAAGCGAGGGTGTTCTAAGTTCAATGAAAGATCTTCCATGATTTTTAGTAAATGATTGATGTGACAACTCACTATCACAGTTGCCTCACCCAACGAAACATGTCAAATCTAAGTCTTGTGTCAAATTTTAGGCAACAAAAAAGGTATTAGCATTAAATGCTTATGATTGACTAATACCTATGACAGAAAGGCTTACGAGGCCACGTATATTTTCGTCTAACAGTTATTATTTATCATCTTCTACTATAAAAAGCTTCTAAAATAGGTCATTCCAAAGGTAACGCATGTTTAGACATTCAAACTATAACTTTGCTCTCTCTTACTTAAATCTCCCAAAATTGAACCCCTTTTATTTCCATATATAAGAGGCTCGTGTTTAGAGCAGCTCCCACGTTCAAACACTTATATCAATAACAGACTTGGTCGTCGGAGTGTGTATTGTTAATTCCATCACCGCCAAAGAAAGGCACGTGTGATTAATAGTTTGTCTTAGCACATGGGAATCTGCTTACGAGAATGTGAAGGTCTTGAGATTTATTGACCATATTGAAGATACAAAATTTGAGGTCAACAATAACTATGCTATAAGGGAATAGGTTCTTTCATATTTTACAAAACTATAATAAATAAATTTAACTTGTTAAACCTTCAAATGAAGTGATTTAAAATGGTGTTAGAGTTAAATTCAAATCTTATCTTTACCTCTTTTAAACATGTAAATTTACTATCAAGAATCTAAACATGTATGATGAAGAGATTGACACTGAATTCCCAATGATTGAGGCTAGTTCAACTAATCTAAACTTGGTTTCTAACGGTTCACTTTGCTCGCTTCGATCCTCTACTTCTATGAACCCTCATTGGGGCTTGGTTAACAAGATTTAATATGTTTAATGTTAGGAGGTGCGAGACCCTCTTTGGCCCCTTGCCACCAAGTAGGATTCCACTAAACAAACTAAATGAAATAAAAGGAACACAACTGCCATGAGGGAAAAACACTCCTTACTGCATCAATGCTCATAAAAGGAAGAGCGAAATGAGTGCCAATTGAAACTACTAATGCTAAACGACTTGCATATGTTAGACATATAATATGTCTTCATTCTCATGGCCTGGCCATCCATCCATCCGTACTCTTTCTACTTTGGAACTTTACTCTTGGAATGAAGTTGTACCCCTAAACTACAAGGCCCCTATTCAAATTTTTAAATGAAAAGTAGGCTATCCTATTTATCATTGTTCTACCACTGAATTTTGTGTCTCAAACTAATGAAAAATTAGGAAGCAAGAGTTTACACACCAAGAATTTATGCTGAGCATAGGGGTGTCAAAAAGGCTCAGCAGCTCGTGGCTCGTAGCAATCGAGCCTCAAAATAAAAGGTTGGCCCGAGCCCGAGCAAGCCTGTGTGGCTCGTCGAGCCAATGGCCCGTGACAATAAGGCTCGACCCGAGCTAAATTAAAGGGGGAAAAAAACCAAAAAATTAAAAATAAAAAAATGAGGCAGCAGGTCGGGCAGCTGTAACCTGCTGCCGGCTGGGGACAGCTATAGTTGCCTTTAAGGCAGCTATATCTACATTTTTTACGAGGCATAGATGTTGAAATTCAAATTTGAAAAATAACGCAGGTTTTTTTTATAAATACGGGGTGATTTTTGAAGTTTTAAATCACTTAGTTATCGATTTTAATTCGCATTATTTCTATATTATAGATTCAGATCCAATCATTCAAGTTTTAATTTCTTCTTTCTCACTTCTCATATAACAATTAATATATTCAACTTCTTTCACTCTACAGTTTAATATTCAGTATTTTTTATTATATTAATTATTATGGATTTTACAAGTGATGAAGTTAATTGGTTTGGCGGTAGCTTGAGTACTCCATCTAACTACAATGCATTTCAAAATGTTCCAATTAATTTGGAGGATATTGAAGAGGAAGAAGTTCAAGTAATCGAGACAAAAAGGTCAAAAAAAGAATCATCGGATTATTGGCAACATATGACACGTAAAAAAATTGGTGTTCAAAATGGAATAGATATTTGGAAAGCATATTGCAATTAATGTGGTAAAGAACTTAGTTGGAAGCCCGGTTCGAGCACAACGCATTTGAAGAGACACGTATTAAGGAGTTGCAAAGCGAAACCAGCCGATCTCGACTCGAAACAGACCGAACTAGTGTTTGACGGTTCTGAGTCTACTCTTTCTACCTTTATATATTCATAGGAAAGATTTCGTGAAGGAATGGCTGCTGCAGTAGAGATGCCGCTTAGGATGATAGACTCAATACACTTTACCCGACTCGTGTAGAAATATCTCCAATCCAGATATTCTTCTTATTCTAGAAATACTCTTCGTTCGGATAGTATAAAATTATATAATAGAAGAAAACAAGTTACTATTGAAGGTCTAAAAAGTTTTAATAGTGTCATAACGTTTACCTCTGATTTATGGACCGGTTGTAATAGAAAAGGTTATATGGCTGCTACGGCTCATTATATTGATCACCTGTGGCTTCTACATAAAAAAAATTATTATATTCAGATGTGTAGAATGTCCCCATAATGCCACTAACATATACATGATTTTAAAAGATATCATACAAGAATATGTTATACAAGATATGGTTCGAAATTTTACTTTTGATAATGTTGCAGTGAACAAAATTGTTATTGAAAGATTTATTGCTGATCTTAACCCTGTATTTGGAAATTTATCTTTTCATCAACGTTGTGTATATCATATTATTAATTTAAT